TCCGAAGATTCCGAAGGCTGGAGCCACCGCTCTCCCACTGGCATGCCGACAAGCGCCCCAGGCTGGCGTTGGGAAAAGAACGGCATTGCCCAGATAGGTTTGACGAGACTGCTGCTTTCCCACTGATCCGAGCGGGCCAGGGCTGGGTGCTCAGACCCCCGGAATGGCGTTTTCTCCCCCCCCCCAGGAAGAAACATGCCTGCTGTACTCAGGTGGAACAGGAAAGACACGCAGGGCTGGGCATCGCACAGCTCGCACCCCCTCGGAATCGGGAACCGAAGAGGGAAGGGAATTGAGCCGGAGAAAGGTGGGGACCAGATCTCGCCACAGAGCACCCCGCTCTCAGGAATCAGCATTCGGGAGAGGGCTCGGAGGGCTCATCAGTGCCTGGGCCATCTGTGGTGTCCGCGGTGCCTGTGGTGTTTAGGCAGTGCCCTCCCACAGACTGCCCACAATAAAGCCAAAGCATTTCTCTTGCTTCACAGTCAAGCAATTTGTATTTGTGATGATGAGACACAAATAAAGGACAAGGAAACGTAACTGGAGCAAAAGCATACTTGTTTCTGTAGGACTAGGCGATGTCGGTTTCGAGGCAGGTTCACTTTAAGTTCATTGCCGAATGCAAAAGCCACTAGCTGGTTGCAGATCCCCCTGTAGCACGAAGTGGTGAGCTCATTGGGGTTGCAGGATTCGTGCAAACTCTTTGGGCGATCGCTTGAGGTGCGTTGCCAGGCCCCTTCTGCAGCTAGGGTGCGTTCGTGAATGTTCTTGGGGTGTTTGGCGGTGAAAGAGGAAAAAAACACTGCCCGGGCAGATTGAAGTCGGGTCGAGGGACGCGGCCCGTCAAGATCTTCCACTTCTGTCCCTGCTCCCGATGAGCCCCTCGGCTGTATGTTTCGGGTCATGAACATGTATGGAAGCGTTTTGCAGAAGCTGGCAAAAAAAAACAAACGGTTCCTGTAAACTGCAGATTTCAGATGAGTAGCCTCATCGGTGAAGGGGAGCGCGTCAGATCCAGGCCAGCTCAGCACGCCCTGGTCAGGCCGGGCTCTGCAGACGAGGAGACGCTCTCTGCAGCTCCTGCACGCTTTCCAGAGCTCTGCTGCAGGTCCGTCCTGTTCATCCCGGTCTCCTCTGTTCTTGGTTTCCCCACTGCGGGGCAGCTGCTGGTATTCCGCTGTCTCATCCTCCTGAAAACCGTTGTCGGCGATTTCTCACGCGGCTTTTTTCAGCTCTGATCACCCCCCCCCATCATCAACTGCAAATGTTCTTCTTGGTCGACCTGGTCTCGGCTAACCAATAGTTGTACCTGCGGTTTCTTTCTTTTCCCACATACTCCAGACCGCTGGCTTTTGGCGTGTACAATTTCTGTCCTATGGTTCTGATTGACTACTTTCGTCTGTTTTCGGCTTTAAAATCCCCCTTAATTTGACAGAAAAGCCTTTGGTTTGGTGTTCAGTTTGTCTTTTGACTTCGGGCTCCCAACATCGAAGTCCGTGAGACAGAATGATAGGATGTTCACAGCATCTTAATGAGCCTAATTACACAACAACAAACTCCTAATCAACAAGAGACACCTGTCAGCCAATTTTCCCCTGTATTTCTGCTCCTTTAAAATAAGGCATTTCGACACCATCAGTTTATTTAATTGACCCATGGGGTCGAGCTTAATTTACCTTATTAAAAACAATACACTCATGAGTTGCACTTAGTTATGAGTTTTTTTTGTTCCATGAGAAATAAAAGTTTATGGTAAAAATGGACTGTATTGTTCCAATGCCTTTGGAGAACACTGTTTATCTGCTTAATTTCAAGGTAGGCTATTGTATATCCCCCGATTCTAAATACAGTATAGATTAAATTATGGAAATCCATTTAATTAAATTTCTCTTATTTAACTGTAATGCTGCGTAGTCCAGTAGGGTATACTATGTACACAGTAGTGGACATGAATCCAGACAAGGATGTATTACAAACCTGAGAGCCTCGTATATAGGGAAAACGCAGAGAGATACTGTATATAGCCCAATCTATAATAATAATAATAATTCATTATATTTTTCTGGACACACCACTCAGAGGGCTGTACAGGTAATGGGGATCCCCTCCACCACCACCAGTGTGCAGCCCCACCTGGATGATGCGCCAGTCAGCTCCCCACACACCAGCTCTCAGTGGGGAGGAGAGCAGAGTGATGGAGCCAGTTCAGAGAGGGGGATTATTAGGAGGCCATGATGGGCCTTTGGCCAGGACACCGGGGTAACACCCCTGCTCTTCTCGAGAAGACATCACTGAGGGACGCAGCTCTCCTCCAATCAGCACTGAATCTCCTGGGCATCACTGCGACGGGGGGCTGGCAGCCGGACAAGGAGACGAAGCTTCCCGTGTCTGATCTTCCCGGGTGAGCTGCAGTGTGCTGAAACCTGTCACACAGCCTCCCGGTCCAGAACTGCCGGATAAATCCCCCCAAAAAACTGGCCGGGCTTTTCTTTTAAAAGGGCTGGAGCGATGCACAGAGGAGGGGAGTCACACAGGGGAGACGTTACTTCTCTCTTGCTCTGCCAGATCTCCCGAGATCTCCCCGGTGCCCAAATGCACTGGGTTTCTGCAGCGGGCACAAGGGGCAGAACCCGTTTCCAGTCCCCCCCCCTTCTCCCCACCCCACCCAGTGTTGGGCATCGGGGACGGGAGAGAAGCTGCAGCGCCCCCTGGCTTGTGAAACGCAAATGAATCACAAACCCCCCCCCCCAGAATCGGGGGGGTGACCCTGAGAGTCTTGAGATTTTCTCAAGAAACAACGGGACCCTGATTTAACCAAGAGAAGCCGATCAGAGGTCGTTGGGGACAAACATCAGGAGACCCTTCGTCCTTCAAGCACCCGAGCTATGGAAACCAATCCGCTCGCTTGTATCGATCCCTCTTCCAAGCTGACAGAACAGACAGGCAAACAAACGGGTCACCTCTAGCGACCCGGAAGACTCCAGGTTGGACTGGAGACCCACAGCGTGAGAGCGGGGCACCGCGGAAGAGTCTCCCGAGCTCTGCGGTCAGGTGAGCGGGTCCCGAGGCTCGGACACCGGCTCATCGCCACGGCCGCAAAAGCACGACGCGTTATCGATCATATTGCTACGACACGGCACTTATCACAACAGCACGCAGAGGCACATGATTGCCCGCCCCAGCTCAGCTCAGACACGCGTACGGCCTTTAATGCAATAGGGTCCGGGCCGCCTGCGCGGGTTCTGCGCTCCCGGGACGGGATGACCGGCAGTGTGACGCGAACCTGCCCGCGTCCCTCGGGTCGTGTTGGAGCCCAGGGAGCTTTATAAAACCGCCGAGAGCTCGCCTGCCTTTCCAGCCGTCGTATGCGATGCCCCGTCGACGGCAGGGATGCGTTTTACGCGCTCTGGCGGTGCGCGGCCGTGTGTGCCGTTCCCACACGACCAGCCCGCCGCTTGAGCCCCGAATTGTACGTCCGACAACATTTCACATAACGATTCGGAATACTGCTCCCTAATCGAGAGAACGGTTGTCATACAACCCTCAGAAGAAGGCCGAACTTCTCATTCTTTGGAAGCGGGTTGGTGTGTGTGTGGGGGGGAAAGGGGGGGAGGAAAAAAATTCCTGCTACAAAAATACCCAAACCGCGCCAAGTGCTCGAGATAAATACCCCGGGACTCCGTCTTGCCTGTGCCACCGCGAGAATCTCTCTCTTGGAGTTTGTTTCCGAGGTCGTTTTAAACTTCTCGCAGCCCGGCTCCGTCTTGTGCCACAAGGCACCGTTTACGCGGCGGCCGAGCGCGCGGAGCGCACGGAGCGCTCGGCGCGTCTCCTGAGAACATTCCAGTCTGGTAAAGTCAGTTAGGTATTTGAATAGCACAGAGGAACCGCCGCGTTCTGATTGGCCCCCCGGCCTCGCCGTGGGCGGGGGCAGCGCGTCAATCACCGCCAAAGCCGGGCGGCCATTGGCGCAGGCCGCGGAGGGCGGAACCCGCTCGGAAATATATATAGTTGGCTAAGCCTGGTGAGAGGCTGATCGCTCGCTCGCTAGCGGAGGGGAGCCGGTGGCCGTGTTCAATGGTTCTCCACAGAGCTGGCTCACTCTCTGCTCCCCCGAACGACATATCGTGATTTCCACTGAATCCGGACCCGATTTATTTATTTTTTTCCTGGGGGTTTGGGGTTTGTTTTCTTTTGGTAGTGGGGGGGGGGGAGAGGAGAGGAGGGCAAAACCCCGCACAACTCTCACTCACGACCAACGCGATGGAGTGCGCGGTGGATGCCCAGAGCCTGATCTCGATTTCTTTGCGGAAGATCCACAACTCCAGGACGCAGAGAGGGGGCATCAAGCTGCACAAGAACCTGCTGGTCTCCTACGTCCTGCGGAACGCCAGGCAGCTCTACATGAACGAGAAGTACGCGGAGATCTACCGGATGCAGCAGTACGAGGAGGTGATGACCGTCTGCAGCGAGATCCAGGAGCTGAACCCGCTCGAGCTGGGCGAGGACGGCGCGGAGCCGAGCGCGGAGTGCGGCGCTGGTCCTTCCTCTTCCTCCTCCTCCTCCTCCGGCGGAGACCCTGCGCCCGTGTGCGCTGCGCTCCTGGCCGGCGCCGGCGGCCACACAGCCGTGTCGCCGCCGCCGCCTAGCCCGGCGCTCCACGGCGAGGACGCCGGCAAGGACACGGACGCCAGTTTCTACCGGAGCTGCTGCGCCGAAGCCTACCCGGTGCCGAGCTGCGACTTCCTCCCGGCCGGCGGCGCGCACTGCAACAAGACCACCGTGCTGGACTTGGACACGCACGTCGTGACCACGGTGGAGAACGGCTACCTGCACCAGGACTGCTGCGGCGCGGCGGGGCCGCCGTGCTGCCAGGGCGCCCCGGCGCCGGCGAAGAAGCGCAAGGCGGACTTCGGCTACTACGCGGCCGGGGGAGCCGAGGAGGTGGCGGATTTCGCGCCGTGCAAGCGGAGCAGGTTCGAGGAGTGCGCCTGCCCCAGCCCGGAGCCGCTGGACTCCTCGAACATCTCCAACCTGATCTCCATCTTCGGCTCGGGCTTCACGGGGCTGGTGAGCAAGCAGGCGGACTTGGAGCAGAGTTTGAACGGACAGTTCTGCAGCAAACAGGCGCTGGCCAGCCTGAGCGGCTGGACTCGAGCGATCGTGGCGTTTTGATCCAGTTGGGAATGTCGGGGGACTGGAGGGGGGGGAGAGAAGATACTTTATAGAAAAAAAAAGTTGAGGGGGGGAGAAAAGACAATTGTACAGAGTTTAAAACAAAGGGACTTTATTTTTGCTAAAAAGCACCTATTTAAATATTCAGCAGGGTTTTTTTTTGTTGTTGTTGTGTTCCGGTTCGGTTTAACGGGGGTGGGCTGGGGGGGGACACAGAGGGGCAGACTTTCCTTTTCACCGAAAATGTCTCTTTTAAGCATTTGAAGCATTTTAAATGGTTGTTGTGAATCTTAGATGACGAAGTTCATTTCGATGCCTTAAACCCAGCGTGTACTGCTACTGTTGCTACAAACATTTAAAGTGATTGAATGTGTCGCTCGCTCGCTGCCCCTTGCGGTTTGGGTTTTTGGTATTTCAGCGGTACCGAGATTATGATGTGTATCATTCAGCAGAAAGCGAAAAACCCTCCGATTACAGTCCTTTTGTTACACTTTCATTGTTGTACGAGCCCTAACAGCGTCTTAAGACCATGAGAAGCAGAAGTGTCTTGCATCTGAACGACCGATATTTCATCACTGCGAGAGAGTTCGTCCGGTTTTTCTCTTCTCCGAACCGCTCCAGTTGTGCGGAGAATCCAGACATTGGGGGCTGTACTTGGGATTTTGTTTTTAAAACAGGCATTAACGTAAAGGGAGTCTCGCCCCCCATTCCTGCTAACAAGCTTGTAACTTTAAGCTTTAGCTGAATGAAGGCAGAAAAAAGAGAAACTAACTTTTTTTTTTCCCGAAACCATAGCTAATGAATGTGTATAACTGAATCTTTCCTGTCTGTTGAGCGGTGTTTCTCTTGTGGACAAAAAAAAGGGATTTTTTTTAAAAAAACGGCTTGACCAGGGTGCTGGTCGTTCTAGTGTCAGTCTTGTGGGATTTGTAGTCCATGTGTGTCAATCTTCCCATCAGAGCGACGAATTCAAACTACTGCTCCCATGATGCACAGCATTTTAATCGACCCCCCTCTAGGTATTTTAATGGCAATTTCGTCTCCCCTGGCGCTGTCCGTAACTTTCTACTTGTGTATGCTTGAAAAAAGTTCGTGGTCTGGTTTCCGCCTTCACGGTAATTCATGATACCAACGTCCTCTTGGTCTTGTGAGTGTTTTAATTTTTTATTTTATATGCAGACCTTTTGTTCTAAAAAGGCGAGTCCGTAAATCAGCCCTTCGTCCTCTTTCCACTATATAAGCACTATGTGTATTGAAATAAAACCTTCTCCTTTTCCATATTTTCTTGTACATTTTTTTGTGCATATTAAATTGTACATCACCGGGTAAAACTGTTTCAGAATATTTGTTTAAATTTATAATCTTAATAAAAAAGGAAAA